GATGCAACCTAGCTGTGACTAATCAAATGAGATAAGGAATGCAATTACAATTATTTTATTTATGCCCGACCCAAGACTTTAAAGGAATTAATTCGTTTCTCAAGATGGTCAAACAGAATGATATATCGAGTGATATTATTTTTATGGCATAATCGATATTTTACTTGTTCGTATACATTTAATTGTACGTACGTTTTATAATTTGATCTTTTGACCCTATATAAGAAAGACCTTAGGAGCGCCGATAATGATAGTTAATTGTGTGATTTTAAACACCGTAGTCGCACATTATTTAACTTATTAGGTACTAGCTTTTGACCGCGACTTTGTTCGCGTGGAATAGTGACTTCTTGCAGATTTTTTATTTAAAAAGTACCCTACGTCCCTTCTCGAGTTCCAAACTAAAATCTGTTCCAAATTTCACTCAAATAGGTTCAGTAGTTTAGGCGTGAAGAAAAGACAGACAAACAGACAGAGTTACTTTCGCATTTATAATATTAATTTGGATAGTTTGGATTCCATATGATACATAATAATGTACAGACTATTTGACAACATATTTTTTTGTTTTTCGCGATTGCTGTATCTTTAGCCGATGTTACGTTGCAATTATAAATTTAATTAAATATTATAAAGCAATGAATCAGTTATATCATGTAATCGCAGACTAGTAGCTCATGCTAGATTATCCCCGGATATAGGAAATGTAAAATTACTAAGTCAGATTACCAATCTAAATGGTTACACGAGTGAGCAAGGCAGGTGCGAAAGTGTCTCTGAGTTCAATAACCCGCGAACTAGGGACAATATGAACTATAACTTGAGATTTACTTGTTTGGGACTTGGTATGGCTATTATATTGCACTGTTTCGTGGTCCAATAGGGTTAATTGAGAGGTCGTTGCGGCCAATGAAGATTTTTCACTACAAATACAAATAGTATAATACAAGTTTTTATTGTTAAGGAACCCAAAGATCGGAACAAATATTGTAAGACCAGATATTAAAGTTTAAAAGAAAGGGATACGAGAAATTTGAAGACGCGTCCCCATTTCTTGAAGTTATAAGTCTTTCAATAAGCCGTAGAATATCCCCTACTTTGAGGGTCGGAAACGCGTCGAACATGTTCACCGATATTACCTACATACTTCCGGATAAAGGGTCGCTTATTCTTGGATGCCATCTTTTATACATTTTAAGGCTTCTCACTGCTCGTAATTTTATTTTGTTGACATTGTCTTTTGGCTTCCGTGCGAGAGACTTTTTAAGGGGATTTCCTTTCAGCTCTAGGTAGAATGTACACGGTTCTTTATTATGTTATTTTCGATCCTATTTGTATGTACCTGCATTCTTAGCAAATAAAGTCTTATTCTATTCTATTCTATTCTAGAATAATAAGCATTACGGACCTATCTTACTAAGAACTATTTGCAGTTTTTTACTATCAGGCATTTTGATAGACAAACGACATATCAAGACGCTATTCGCGACAGAAAACATGTAGAATGTCTTATACATATGGGTATAACAGCTTTAAAAATAAACCTGCCAAGTGGGCACCTGCACCCTAATTAACCACGATCTTATTTGACCCTCTAAGCACGCACAACTTTCATGTTATCAGACCAAAACCTGCTTTAAACATACCTAAGGGCACAAATCGATTCTGGAGCGTTGCCGAAAGACAAAAAACTGTTCAAACTGGTTTCGCTGCTAAATTACATTAATTGAGTGACAGATTAACTCCATAATTCACAAGAACCGACCCTTGCGGACTATGGCGACGGCCGAAATACCTTTGATACTATTTTGAAATAAATATCGAGCAAATTTTAACAGGCAAATCAACAAGTTTAGGCTAGAACACATACTGAGGGTATTTTTGTGAATGAAAGAAATATTTCTCTAAATCTAAGAATACTTGTTATTTTACTTAACTTTTTAGGGGAATTCTAGCCTAAATTATATAGAGACTAATTGACCAATATGTCTAGAATTTTGTTTCGTCCTAGATGAGTATCGTATCTTGGATCATCATAAAACTTTATACACAACAACCTACCCAGACATTTGATGAAACAAAATTACGGTGTCTAATAAAAATAACAAAAATGATTCAGACACAACGTAAATGATATCAAATGAGGTTACAATAAAAAGGTGTTAAACAAAGTGTTTGCTGAACCAAGAATTTACCTACCAACAATGCAAATGTGTCATTACAAACAGGTTTTAGACAATAAAATTCATTTTATCTTATTGTATTTCAAACAAAAAGTACAACTTCTAACTATTTACTTAGTAAATACTTTCATTGGTTTATATGAAGAAAATTATTATTGGACCCTTGTTTTAGTATATATTGTCAATAACAGATGGAACAAAGGCCTCTATCCTGAGACGATTTTCGCCATAGTCTTAATACTTGGCGGCTTTTATGGCATCAAAAGTTAGAATGACGGGATATCTCGACTGGTTTCGTGCCACGTTAAGGGCTCATTCATAAGCAATGCATCATAAATTAGAATGAAGCCACCTACCCCCAAAATAGACACGATCATAGAACCACATTGTAATTGACATGAGCCTCAAGCGTGGCACGAAATCAATCAACCTATCCCGTCAAACATTTACGTGAGAAGCTGATAAACAAATTTAAGTCTCACAAAAGTTTTTACACATTATTATACACCCACAGTCCAGTTGTCTTAGAAGAAACAAAGAATAAATAATACAGCTATGATTAGCTTGAAGACACACTATTATTATGCAAAGTAAGCAAAACACTTATGTTGTGTTGGTGAATCATTTTGTATTTGTGATTAATGAAAGTTTACAATGATGCAATAGCAATGTTTATGGGAAAACAAAGAACTCAGTACTATGATGCTTATTGTTATTTAAAAATAAGATAGGATATATTTTTTTATAATTTGTTTTGCCACATAGAGTTGTGACCCAGTGCACATCCCAGAATGAATTAAGTAAAAGCTATGAAAAAAGGTGTCTGTGATTGGGATAACCTGCCAGAATCTCCCAAAATCGCTGCAACTACTGTAAGCCAGGATTTACACTAGACACAACCATATACACACCACCAAACAATAATAGTCAGGTGTGGCCGAGGGAAATAAATAAACTTAACGAAAAGAAAAACAAAATAGTTTCCACTTTCCTTAGAAAACTGGCCAAAATGGTAAAAGGCACAATGAGATTGCACAACTAGAAGTATCTCAGTTGCCAAACACCATGGAATATTGACTCAAAACTATATAAGTAAGGGTGGAATTGTAAGGATGAAGGTACCAAGTTTTTATACCAATTACACAACTCATTCAAAATGTTATTATTTATATGTAATTTATTTCATTCCGTTGGTAATATTAGTACAAAAATATTTTATATAAAACCACACTGGACTTTATGACCATTGGATATGATTAGTATGTTATGCCCCTTACAACATATTGGATATTCATAAAAATGGATTGTGTCATTTTGAGACTACAAGACCTACCACCCTATTGAGCAAATATATTTTTTACCTATATTAAATAATGTTTAATGCATCTATTCAACTAATATCATAAATGAAATACTACTATCAGATAAGTGGTCATTAATGCAATTCATGTAACATTACTTGCATCACTATGACCAATTCATATTTTCTACATTATAATTTATAAGCTTTCAACTCCTTCTACTACAAAATGGACTTATTAAAATGTAAAGAAATTGAAATAAAAATCAACCTTAATAAGATTAAAAATAAAGTATGTTTCAGTCTAATAAATATAAGTACCTACTTGGACAATCAACATAATACATAATGAACCTTATATTTGTAATAAATAAAGCATGTTTTAATTTAATTTATTATACTTGGAGTTCTCATATTGTGTTTGCTTGTATGTAGTATATTCAAGTGTAAAAACCATGCATAAACATCATACAAATTGCATACATTACGATAGTAAAGTAATTTATATTCTTCATGTGTTGTTTGATTGGTGCCAAACTTTACTCATTGTGAAGTTGGTATGCAACATTTCACTTTTAGTATTATGTAGACACTATGTAACATAAGGAAACTTGTTTTTTTATACCTTCACTATTACACTGGCATATTTTATATATTTGGTTGATATAGTTTGTTTTAATTAATAACTAAGCTATGAAAGTATTATATTAACTTCCTATTTATACATAAGCTACTAGTAAGGTGCAGGCGGGGTTGGGGGTTAAGCACACTAATGTACTAATCTCCAGGTGTGGAACAGAGGAAGGATAGGGATGGTTTTTAGTCAGTAAGAGTCTGACATTCCCTCTCACCCACCCGCGGTCAAACAAGGTATTTGATGATTTCTCAAAAAACAACTTCTAGTAAGTCAAATTAACAAAGTTTTTGAATGTTAGGATTGTAAAAAATAGTGTTGTAACAAGCAGAATATGTTAAGCTTTGAGGCAAAAGCAAAGTTTACGAGACAGAAACAAGGAAAATACTTCAAATCTAAGTAATTTCTTATAAGAAAGTAGAAATATGTAAAAAATCTCTAATAATACCCCTCTATCAAATCAATCTAAAAAATGTTTTCAATTATGTCACTTATTAGTGGTTGGAAAAAAAAATGATGATTCAACAAAACCACCTTAAATTTATAGGTACAAGCTAACAAAGAATTCCTTAATAATTGGGACATCACAACACATTCATTTAAAACTGCTCAACATCAGAGAAAAACAATTGACTATCAATAAAAACAAACAATAACTTGTTTGTTGTCTGAACAGCAGCTTTGTGCCACAATAAAACGATTCTACTATAATGTATTTGATCACATCATTGTGATTAAGTTTACCACATAATGCCACCCTCTGAATTAACCATTAGGGATAATGAAACATTGAAGTAACACCCCATAAGGGACTCCCAGCTGTTACACAAAGAGAACTCTACTTCCATTGTTTACTTGGCAAACATTAAACATTGCAACTTACCAATTGAAATTCTCTCCGCCTGTCATAAGCCCTTTTTATGGCTCTGTCTAACCACAGCGAGTGTATATGCGGCGCGTAATGCACGAACAGCCGACTGTCCAATGATGACGTACTGTTGAAGTGCAGCGCCTGCTGACCGATGTCCAAATTCCTCGGGTTCTCCCACGGTATAGCGAGCTTATCCCTCGCGTCCACCAACACCTGAATCCCCTTCACTATGTTCTGGTATATCACATGCTGGTACTCTCGCACCAGTTCCGGCTCAAACTTCACTTTGTGTATTATCCTCATCTGTTTCAGGAATGTTGACTTTCCGCTTTCACCCGCACCGAGCAATAATAGTTTTACCTGTCGCCGTAACGTCTGTTTTTCTTTCTCTAGTATTTTATCTATTTCTTTGCTCCTGTATCGCTGCTCTATTTCCTCCGGCGACAGTTTTAGGCGCAACCAACACGTAAGAGCCTCCGTACAACAGGTACATGACCACAAATCGTTGGCCATTTTGCATGATTATCAACGCCCATATAATAGAAAGAAACTGAGCAAAGTATATTACACTACATATATCTGTTCATTCAACACACATTTTCGCAATATCACAACGTACACACTATTAAACGACAATACATAATAAATTAAAGCATAAATCCGGAATCAGAAATACACACGCATTCTACCCCTCCCAAACTCATTGAGAAATGAAAAACCACAGATAGCAAAACATAAACTGGTTGAGTGGCTGTCATGTCATTGTGATTGTAAGTCGGTGTTCCACGAAATTACACTTCAAATTCCGTGTTTACTTTTGATATATAAAATATTTAAGTATGGTAACACTTTAATCGACTAAAGTCCATCAAGTTACAAGTGAATGGAAAGTCCAACATACGATAACCGAAAAATCATTCGTTCTTTCTTCGCGGCAAATAAAATGTTTAAACGTCAACATACCAATGCTGTCAAGTTTTTATTCCGCGTAGTCGTGCACGTGTTCCACCTCGGCTAATTTTAACTATAAATGTATAATATCGTCTAAAATAGCAAAGTGATTGTATAAACTTAAATACTAATTCAATACACTCTCGTTTGCATTCGTAGAGTGTATACTTAACAATGTAAAATTAACACAAAGCGATGTCCAAAGAAGGTTATAGTCCTGAAAAAAAAGAGGGAGATAATAAAGTAGTTTTAGAGAGATTGCAAAACTACTTGAAAGACAAAAGAACTTCTGAAACGTCGGACCCGAGTCTCGGGTTCAACAAGCCCAGTACCAGCTACGATCAGTCACCACAAAGTCTGCCAACACTTGAAGACAGTAGCAACATATTGCGTGAAGTTCTGAACCACAAGAAGGCAGAATTGCTGCGTCAGCCGGAGATAGTAGAGTATTTAAAGTCGATATCGTCGGATCTCAAGAAGTAAAGATGTCGGGAACTCCGAAGAGCGTCGCCGCATCTTTGATGCAAAAGACTCTTGAGCGACAAGCAGCCTTAGCGCGAATGAGGCTACGTTTCACCAAGAACCAAGTAGAGCAAATATTAGTAAATTGCGTTAGAAATAATAACACCGGGCCTTACCTAGAATTGGTGAAAGTTTTAAGAGAATATCCTCTGAATGAGGATAATTTTAGGATAGTGTTTGATGACAGCCTATCTTGTGTTGTGTTGTTGGGGCGGGAGATGACTCAGTATGTGGATGTAGTGTGCAATATTGAGTGGTTGGACAGGAGCGAGGAGTTAGTGGAGTTGTACAGGAAGTTTGTGCTGAACCTGGTCACTGCACACACCTACCACTGCCCCATAGTCATGATGCGGCTAGTCACGCTGTTTAAAGGTGAATATTTAATTTTGTTGTGCAATACTGATATACCTTTACTGCTAAAGCTTTAAGAGTCAAACCAACTTCTTAGTGCATAGTTCACCCAAATTATGTTCTATATTCAAATATCTCAAATAAGATGGTTACCCAATCATTGTGGAAAAGATCATTGGTATTCTAAATAAATTTTGCAATATTGTCAAACATATTATATACAATCAGTGATGATAAAATAGCGGAGAACACCCTAAACTTTGTTTTGGTACATAATAAATATTGTGCAATGTTGCTGAAACTGAAACTTAGCTGTCAAAACATTGCTTGAAAATTATTTCACAATGTTTTTCAACAACTTTGCAACTGAACTTTCGCTTACAACATTTAAGGTTTAATTCAAATTTTATTTATTTATTATAGGTCCTCTGTCAGTCTGAAGTAATAATTTTATATTTTTTTCTAAGTTTTTTTTAATTTTTTTAGGAGATGGAGAGAACTGGGAGGATAGTCCGCCTTCTGAACTTCTAAACAAATGGTCTCATATACATGATATTATTGGACACATAGTTGCCATTATGCCTATGTAAGTATATTTTTATTACATATTTATTTAGTCTTTCGTATTGCACAATAGTATTCAACATGAGAAATAATTGTCGTAAACCTGGAAGCCATCTAAGGAGTAAAGAAAAATGCATTTACAATATTGACTGGGAATTCTAAATTTCAAATGTGATTATAGAATTTTTGTTATTCTAATCACATTATGAAATTACAAATATCTCAGTTGTTGTCAAACATGTTGCAATATCAATGACATTGCTATGTAAACAATGTTGTTTATATTGTAAAGCCATGTCCCTGACCTACAAATTGATGGATGGATGTTCCATTTTATGTATTGACCCAAAAATCATTTTTAAAACTGTCATGTAGAAAGTTTATATTTAAGATAAGATTGCATTAAAAGGCTCAGAGAAAAATATTATGCAATGCTTTTTTTATTAAACTACATACCATAGGTAATGTGTGTATGTTATACAATGTCCTATAATAAATATAAAAAGATTACCAAAGTATTGCACAAGATCCACACACCTTTATGTAACTGGCTAAATGTACAAGTAGTTACTAGCTACCTGGGTAGCTAGCTAGTAGTACAATGCTGTATAGTGATTAGACTATTGTGTTAACCTTGGTTAATTTTTACATTTTGTCCAAAAAAGAGGAACAATGGCTCATGTTTTTGTTTGGCAGAATGTGTGACTTCCTTTGCTCAAAAGTTGAAGGTCACCAATTCACTTTAGTTATGTCAATAAATTTATTGTTTGAATACAACCTTCTTCTAAGGGGTTTATATTTTTCATACAGACAATCTTCACATATTTTTAACAGCAGATACCACTATAGTCGCTTTGCCGGCGCCGATGGCGTCGCATCCGCCATTTTGTCAGATGATTGCAAAATATAAATACAAGCCAACACTCATCTGCTAAATGAGGCCCAGCATAAACACCCATTTTTAGAAGTACAATAATTTTTTAGAATTAATAAAATGAGGCTTGGGCTAAGAGTTACAGAACTAAAAAATGAACATATTTTTTACCATTTCTTCACAAAAGGGATCTGGAGTAAAGAAATCATTTATTAAATTGTGTTTAATTTAATTTTGTTCAACTTTTCAACATTGCGTTGTTGGCATTGCTATTTATTTGTTGTTAGCAAATTGTCAATTGTATTAATTTATATAGTTTTTAAAATAAAATACACATAATATTATTGACTTATTGTTAGCATTCGGCTAGAAGCAAATGCCTTTTATTTATATTCTGTCAAAAGGATATGAAAATGCCATGCAGTTAGAAACTGAGTTTTTTTGGATTTTAGAGGGTGGGATATTTATATTTGATGAAGAACATGAAATCAGAAATAAGGAATTGCTGGAATGAATTCTAAAATAATGCTACTGTTGACAAATCCTGGAGTCGTATTTTTGGCAATGGATTTGGAATAACTTTTGGCATTATTTCTTTATCAAAAATACTATGACTGAACCAATCAGAGGAGCCAAGGAGCCAAAGAGGTTGAAAGCCTTATTGTTGAATGGCAGAAAGAGATATCACCAGCAATATCACCTTCTCACTCTAGCTTTACTACAAAGCTGAAGATGAATAGTAAATCTTGGCAATACTTTTCAAGTTATGGATGCTACTGAAAGAGTAAGTAACTGCACCAATTCTTTGTGTGATTGGAAATACAGTATAAAACAATTAGTTTTGTACTGTCAACAATACCTATTATGGGAACCATAAAGTCAGAGTGGTATTATCTGTCTATTATTCTAGGCAAGTATCTGTATTCTGTATGATGCCTTGGGGCGCCGCAGAGTGCGCTTTTCAATATAGTGGCGTCGTCAGAGCGGGCGCCAAAGGATGAGATTCTTGCCTAGGGCACTCACCATTATTAATCCGTCTCTGCGAATAGTACGCATTTGGTATTACCATATTTTAAGGTAAAAAAATCAAATAAGTACTATTTGTATGAGTCATATTCGTAAACCGTGATAAGAATGGAAGTCATTTGTTATGATAATGAATATCAATACACTATTCTATATTTACAAACTTCCTACACAACTTGATTTGTAAGTCAATCCTACTAATATTGTAAACGAAAGTTTGTAAGTATGGATCAATATTTGTTACTCTTTTACGTAAAAACTACTGAAACAATATTGGTACTTACATATAATATAATTCCTGTAATAACACATAGGCTATTTTTCGTTTGGATAACGTGTGCAGAACCACTGGCATAAAACGTAAGTCATTTAAGTGCAGGGATCCCATCAACCTTTCAGTATGATTTTACATAATTGATGAGTTCTCAGGCTAAATACCATGACTTGTCTATACTAAACGAAGATTAACTCTTCTTTGCAAACAAAAAACTGGTTCTGTGGGCTTAATTTTAATAATGAGAACACTCAATTCAAGAATGTTTTAAAGATAATTTCTGACAAGGTGAAATCCAAATATATTCACAAATATTGGCTCCTTGTTTAAAAATCATTGTAATCTGAATTTACAGTTCTTATACTTGGTGTCATATTATGCTGTACATGCCTCTGTCAACATGTCAGCATATATCCATTGCTCCAAACATCTCTAAAAGCAACTAAAAATAATTTCAACTTGTGTGTTGTGCTAAATGAATATTTTTCTTGCTTACAGGACAAGTGATCTTCTAATGCACATTATAATAGAACAGTTCCCATACTACAAAGCAGGGTGCTATGTAAACAGAGCATACATCTACAATTTAATATGGATAAGCAAATACCTACCTTCCCTCCAAGAACAAATCATGACTGCTGTTATTAATAAGTAAGTAGATCTAAATAGATTTTGTTTGTAAGTGTGATATTTTTGTAGTAGGTGTGCATACTATCCTTTTTTAAAGTACACCTCAAACTAGTCCTAATTGATGTATACATAAGGAATATACTTTTATGTGTTTTGTTCATAGTCAACCATGCTGCATGTCTGCTCATTAATTGAAAACCTAGCTGCCAATATGTTGATGATCTAATGTTATTTTCTATCATTGATAGATCTTTCTAGTATAATGTAGTATGCCTTCCACTGATAAGATATCGCTTGTTCACAAAGCAAGTGAAATGTACCTTTTTCTGAATTTTGTATCATGATATTACTTTCTCAAAGCAAAACTGAAATCTCTTAATCTGTTAAAGAAAATTAAACTTAATTGGCCTTATTATTGGTCAAAACAAGCTTTTTCTTTAGTCTAAAAACCATTAACCGTTTCCGTGCGGATGATGCCGCACAGGCACCATGTAAATCTATTGCGTATGGCGTATGGTGCCCGAGAGGATACAAAACTAAATCATACAAAACTCGGCTTAAACGACATTCGTTAAAAGAGCCCCCTAAATAAAAGTGTCTTTATTTGTCACCCTTATCATGCCCACAGTGTTCGTTTTAAGTAATTTCGCAAATTAGCTGACATCAGGGGTTGTAAACCAAGTTGCCGACACATTTTATTATTGATTATAATTCTAACAGCCCACTTTCTGGAATGTTTCTCAAAAATCAAATGCTTTTGTCATAAGGTTCATTGTTGCCTAAAAACGTACAAAAAGTGCGCTGTTCGCCGGCCCTTCGCCTACGAAGTACCGTATTTCCTTGCGTATACGGTTGATTATTGTTTAAAACTACGCCGTTCATAATTGTTTGCGCCGGCGCACAGTATAATATTTTGATAAACTAGACGGACAAAAGTCAATTTAGGACATGTCTTAAATGATCCTTCTAACGCCAAAGAATCAAGACAAGCTGCTTTGCTCTGGTATTGGTACAAAATAATTTTGTCCTGCTAGTTTTTCATACTAACTGTGCGGTGCATAACTATTTCACCCCGGCCGGGGCGGCGGGGCCCCGCACTTCTGTCTTATATTTAGTTTAGTCAGGAATATATTTCTTTTTTTTTTCTGGTTAACTCTACAACAAAATAAAAAACTTGTCAATTAAACGCTTAACAAAAATCCACGTTTTTAAATGGATAGACAGATATTTTTTATCAATAAAAACACATTTACATTCTTATCCAAATAAAACACTTCAAAATCATGTAAATGTTTATAGGTACCTACGAGTACAATATTTTTGATTCATTAGAATCGGACTTCCCATTCAGTTAAATGTTCTACAGTAATCCAGTATTTTGTAGAGAAACAATTTTATCATCAAAATAGTGAAGTTAAAATTGTTTCCCTACAAAACACTGTATTATAAATAATAATAAATAAATATCACCTCGCGACAAACTCAAGTGGTACGTGTAAAATTCTTTACAACACTTGAATAAATAAATCCATGAAATAATGCAAAAAGGTTTACGACCCCTAATATAAATTAGTCACTTACCTTCCATTTCCATAAAAACACACAGATCGTCAGTTTTAAACGCACTGAACGAATTTACTGACTGCCTACGTTAGATACACAATGTCAAATTATTATTTTAGCAAGCAGAAACACGAAAACAAGCTAAAAGTGACAATTCATGGCGGATGATTCCCCAGGGGAATCATCAAACTTTCTGGCGCTTGGTGCCTCAGAGGCATCACAGAATTTTTGTTTGACGCCAGGCACTAAAGATTGCTAAAAAGACTTCCGCACGGAATCGGTTAAGCCAGTTTTGTATTTCAAATTGAATGTAGGTGAGAATAAGAATCAAAATTCAATGATTCAAACCTAAACCTAAACAAGATTATCTTTAATAATCTTGTTTTAGTAATAAGGACAAAAGGAAAGACATGTCCAATGTCTACATAGACTAAAGTCATTTTGTAGATATCTTCAACTATACTTCAGTTACCTATGCAATAGTGTTGAAATAAAAAATACATGAAACACAATATCGTAACTTAAATAATGCTTTATTTTCAGAATGATAAGTATGGACGTAAACATAGCAGAATATGAAAAAGGTAAATCAGACACAATGTTCGAAATGGACATAGATTGTCAGGACGAAGTATCCGTGACCCTGGACTATTGTATGCTGGAGGTCCTCAAGTGGCTGGAGGATGAAAGGGATCCCATCATGAATGTCCTATGCACCGTCTTCGAAAGGGTCGTGCTACCTACATATGGCATAAGGTAAGTAAAGAAATGTCGACCATGTATTGTACCACTTAGGGTTGATTATGCAGTTTCTGTTAACATTAATTGCTCTAAACAAAAAACTCCTTTTGTTAGTATTCTTAAATTGCTGAACAGATAAAATAAACTTTATAGATAAACACATAAAGTTAATTTTTGGAACACCAGTAATCAACCTGACTAGTCTTAGCAAATATTTCAACCAATATTTTTCTCCTTTCAGGCATGTTCAGTTCCTTCTGCTGTACACTATATCCATCAACCAGCAATGTGCAGACCGTGTGCTTGAACACCTTTGGACTATAGCTGCTGGTCGCCAAGGCATGGGACCGGGGGCCCTTACCACGAGAAAAACCGCGGCCAGCCACTTAGCAGGCCTACTCGCTCGTTGCGTGCGAGTCCCCAACACAAGACTCATAAAGTATTTGAAGAGCATGGCGGAGTGGTGTCACTCTTATATCTCCGCCACGCAGGAGTCCACTGCAGCGTGCGACAATACCAAAGCCCACGGCGCATTCCACGCTATTTGCCACGCGATTTTCTACCTTGTGGCCTTTAAACATCATTTGCTGTTTATGAATAAAGAAAGTGAGTGTTTTTCTCTTTTCTACTTGTATGTATGAAAGAGCTCTTGTTTGAATAGTTTTGATTACAATATATTTTGTTTTGATATAACGCGTTTCAGTAATTTCGTTTATTAATTTGCATTTTTGAACTATAAAAATTTGCGAAAATAGTACATGTTCTCAAAATACTTACTATACTAATACACGATGTAACATAACTTTATATGAAACGTCATAAGTATTGGTTACATAACAACCTTTATTATATTTTCAGATGTAAACTTCGTGGAATCATTAAACTTGCCACGACTTGTGACGTGCGCATTGAATCCACTTCGCACATGCCCCCCTCAAGTCACGAGGGCATTCTCTTCCATCACGAGGTCGCACCAAGTTGTCTACTGCCAGGGTATTATTGAGAAGAACGCGCGACATACGCTGCAATCAACTGCTGTGCAACAATATGACGAGTGGTTCCCATACGACCCCTATAACTTGCCTATGTAAGTATTTTATACTAGCTACTCTCGCGCGGTTCCACGCGCTGCTCAGCTCCATTTGATCTTAGCGTGATGTTTTATTTTGGGAATCCGACCAGCAATTCCAAAGATTACCCCCTACATACAAACTTACAAATTTTACCTCTTTATAATATGTATTAGTATAGATTGAATATTTTGTTAACTGCGGTGATGTCACAGTTTATTGAATAGTTTCTACATAAGTGATGTCTTTTGTTGGTTATAAGTCTAGATATTTTGTACTTCATATATGAGAGAGAGATACACCTCAACAAAAGTGCAAAGCTATACCGGCATCGCGAAATTATTTTGCGCGCATTCGTTTACGCGTCGCGTCGCATGATATCACAGAAATGCAGCCACTTCTATAAGTGAACAATCACAGACAATATACCTAATAAAATGTTTAGCATCACTCAGGAATTTAGTTCGAATTTTTATACATTATCTTCATAGGTTTTTCCTTTTTACAGATCTGGCAAAATCATTTGGCCGCTGTGTATAGATTACAAGGACTGGCTGAAGGAAGGCGACGACGAAACCCAGTACTCGTCTATGAAGAGAAAATTAGAAGAAGATGATGATTATTTAGTCATGGCCAGCCCCACACAAAGGCTAGCTTCCTCACTGTCTCACGGTATCTCACCGGGTTTCAGAACTAGTGAAAATATATTTATATAAATATCCTAGTGAATAGAAAATATATATGTTACTATCGTTAGTAACAATTCTGATCTTATTATAAGCTATGTAATCTATGAAAAATATTGTTTTCACAAACAGTAGGTGATTTAAATGTACTATAAAGTAATTGTTCGTTTTTTTTTCAAACTGTAAAATAAGTGATACATGTTTTTAAATACTGAGTGCTATAGCAAGCTGTCTTATACATACTATTTAGTGTAGCTACCTACCCATCGCATATACAAGATTATATGTTAAGTGAATTTGTTTCAGTAACAAAGACTATATTCTTATCTTTTAAGTTGAACTCATAGAAATAAACTATATTTTGATATCTAGTACAATTTGTCTGATTGTTATGTATATTGTTACATAGTTTAAGGGACTGATGTACATTTTATTCAATGCATTAAGAAGCTTCATAATAAAGTTTATTTATTGATTCAAGAAACAGTGCTTTATTTATTTTTAACTAGCTTACCCAAATACCAGAAAAGAAAATGTTTATTTGGAACTACCTTCTGCCAGCGACTTTGTCCGCGTGAAATAGTGAGTTTTGGCAGATTTTTGGTTTTACACACAAGTTGTTCTCGATCTCGTAAGATTTTCGGGAAGTTCTCCTTTTGCATTCCCGGGATAAAAACTATCATATGTCCTTTCCCGAGTTACAAACTACGTCTGTACTAAATTTTACCCAAACGGTTTAGTAGTTTAGGTGTGGAGGAGAGACAGACAGACAGACAAAGTAAATTGAAATAAAATAAACACAGAATTTGAGGAAAACTTACAGCAGCACATTGAAACAAAAACCGATTAATTATTGATTTTTAGCGCGCCACAAAACATATTATAAGTTCCTGGCAACCTTATTATACTTATAGTAAATCTGTAGACAGGTCAAATCTGTACATGAAATATAAAATTAGCTGTGCTTACGACTTCGACCGCTTGGTTGTGGGTTTGGAAGGGGATATTAAGTGGATATAAGGATAAAAATTACCACACTTTTGACGGGTATTGCAGAATGCTATTTTCGAAAAATTCGAATGCGTTCTTGGAAATATTCGTCCTAACAAGCTCACAAGACAACCTACAGCAAATTAAGAAACAAATGTGCTTAAAACTAAATTTATTCGCAACTGCACACAAATCACAAAGACAATTGTAAATATTTTGAAGTATGAGTATTAATTAATTTACAATACATTAGACATAATGTACTTAGCGATTCGTTGATTAATTATATAGAAACAACACACAAGTGAACACACTGATGGTACAAGGCTTATTCTAATGTATACAACATTTTCAAAAGCTAACTACAAATCACAAAACATTTTCGATAAGTATTATTACATAGACTGGCAACAATGTAAAAGATAAATTTATTTAAGTGCACATAATAATTGCTTTCTTTAAATATTACTAATATTCCGTAATACACATTCACATCTATATGATTTTTGAAACTAAAGGATCAAAAATAGATTGAATACAATTTAAACATTTACCAACAAAACGAACGAACATATTATCTTCTCCATGTGAGAAAAGAGTGGCAGCTTATTTGCTGATAATGATGATGTGACTCCTAGAATTCTATTCAAGCAGACTTACTGCTTGGTACAAATAACCTTAGCAATTAACATTAAATGCCACTAGTAAAATAATTTAATACAACAACCTGATCTACATCAATGAATGTCTGATATAAGTTGTTAGCCTTTCAGTTTGCTGTTTTTCATGTTAGGCAGGCCCATTCGTGCTGAAGCTAGGCTCTTCCACATAGTAACACTAACAAAAAGTAAATCAGACATTGTGAAGAGTTAATGTATTAGTAAAATTATTGCATGAATAATAAGTCACATTGCCTACCTTTGTAATAATATACCAATGTTAGTAAAGCTAATATCTAACATTTAATAAACCGACTGACAAAAATATAAATTAATATTGACATCTTCAAAATCAGTGTCAACCATTCACTTAACACTTATACATAAATCACATTTTACTACCATAAAAACTAACATTATTTGCGTAAAACAGCACTTTACAAACATTATTGGATGCTACCATGACACTTACATACACAAGCATTGTTACTGAACAAACCACAATAGAACAAATATTGTACCAATCTGGCAAACCATGAGTATATGGCAAACATTATAATTCTTTTTTGAAACTCAAAGTCAAATCATTTAGTTCAGAGACAACTAAGGACTTTATATTAAATAAAAAAATAAAAAACCTTATATTTCCTTTTTTGAAAACAAAAAAAATACATTTACAACAAATTTTACATTTAAGGACTTTATATTAGAAACAATAATGAAATAATATCTCTCATATACTAGCATTTTAAAACTTCACCACAAAAATAAGTACAATACATATAAATGATACTTATTACAACTTATCAAACATTCTACGACAAAAGAGATCATTCTAGAATGAAATTAAATTCTTGCAAATTTATGAGATTACAACCTAAGTTCATGGTAGCACCACCTATTAAATTAAGGCATAAAAAATCACATTTTATCTCTTTTTATGGTATGGGTGTCTTCTTCTAAATGAGGAAATTGATTTTTGAGGTTGATATTGCTTTGTCTGATACTGTGCAATAACCGGGGCCTCATTTGCAGCTAACTTGTTGACTACAAAGTCATCACCTGCTTTCATGTTCTCCATCATCTTGAGTTTAGCCTCAATAGATTGGATAGCTGTCTTTTTGCTTAATTTGAGCTCCGGTTTAGCACCAGCAAGAACAGCTATGCCAAGTTCCGGCTTTGGTTTCTCTTGTTCATCCTGTAAAACAAATAATATGAATTGTAGATCTTAATTAATGGTTTAAGTAAAACAAATAAATAATAAGATTAATAAAATATAAATAAGAGTTTTAATATATAAAACAATAAAGTTAATGTGTTAGGTTACTAACATACTATGGTTTGACTAAGGTTTATGCAGGCATTGCATTAATTTCCACACAATACACTACAATACAATAAGGTTAACTAATTTCTACTTACAGTGTTCTTAGCAAACTTGACGCTTATCCTCTTTGTTCCAAGCATTTGGCCATTGAGTGAGTTCATGGCTTTGATAGCATCTTGTCTCAACTTGAATGTAACAAACGCAAACCCCCGTGGCTGTCCCGCATTGGGACCACTCCGATGGAACAGCATGTCAAACTTCTCGATGTTTCCATACGCACGGACCAGTTTCAGTAGTTGATACCGGTAATTAGAAAAAAATTATTTGTTAAAAATGTGTAAATAAACAATATAAGCTTGTCAATAGTTGAACTGAGGTCAAGGGTGTGTTAGGTGAATTTTATAATCATGTTGGAAAAGCTATTGTGTCAATAAGTACTTAATCTGTAACTTGATCTGAAGCCATAGAAGTGTAAAAATCTGTGTGACTAGTTGTAGTGATTAGGACAGTAAATCTAGAGGATAAAAGATAAAATAATCATACTCATTAACTCTGGTGTCAAGATTTCCGATCCAAATTCTCTTGTCGGACACCTCGCCGTGCTGAAAGGGTTCGAGATGCAAAGGTAGCTGCAAAAAGAGGTCAAATATTGATCGATCTCAATACCAGGCATCAAGGATTTTAGAAGTTTATTCAAAAAGTAATTTTAACTTTACCAACATAAAAATTTGCATGAAATCTAAAATATGAACTGTAATTATACATTAACATACAAATGAGAAATAAAATTTATAAAAAATGTACCGTAGCGTCCTCCATGGTATTTGTGTAGTGTTCTCGAAAAATTCAGGATCAACACTGCAGACTAAAACTGTCTCTTGAAATAAAGAAGGACTAACACTATAACTTGTTCATTATTTGTGTCGATATAAACATTTTGCGGTATGTAATAGGACTTTTTCCACAACACAAAAATATGTGTACAATACTGTATCAATCAATCAAACTGACAGATCTAAGATCGTTGAATGAAATGAATCATTGGAAATCATTCATTCATTGCTTTACCACATTGTGTAATTGATTTAAATGTTGAGTTAGGCGATTATTACAAATGAATAGAAAAAAGGTTACAAAATTTGAAAGTAATTAAATATTAAATTAGTATTGTTATCATAATAACAACTTGAAGATTATATAAAATCCTACTAAAGACGAACATAAGGCAAACAGCTTAAATAATACAGTACTATATAGATTTACCCAAGTATGGCAACTTTAATGACAGTAACTAACTTGACATTTAATCCTGAATGTCAAATTGGTATCTACAACGAGTGAATCAGAATTTGAGAAAATAAACAAGTTTCTACAAGACTTCGTAAACTGTGTCCAACAGGAAACCTTTACAATTAAATCATATATGATTGCATGTGTTAAGTAAACCCTAAACATGAAGCCCATAATTAAAAAGATTCCAGGTATTCTGCCACCTCCACCAAAAACTGAAATCGACGGCAAAATCACTGATTTATCATCAAAGAACATCACAGAATTATGCGAGTTAAGAGATAGACAACTGAAACTACTGAATAACAAGGCGTTTATATCTAAACTTCCTGACAAGGGTGCGAAAATCCAGGCGTTTCATGATAAAATCGTCAGCGAATTGAAAGCTAAACAAGAAGAGGAACAAACTTGTCGTATGTTTGATAACATGAAATTGAATGGTATTGATAACGACGTTGTGCAACAAGTAGAATGGGTTGGCAAAATACAGGATAATAACAACACATACCTTGACTCTGATGACGACAGTGAACCAGAAGATGTACTTCATATCCTCAGTCAAACCACCGCTCCAGAGAAACAAGTGAAAGTATTACCACCTGAAAAGCCATTGATTACTGAAGAAGATTTATTAAAAATTGGTGAACTACCTCATGTGAAGTACATTGTAGAAAAAACTGAAGTTAAACCAAAGCCTAAAGCTACGGGCAACTTCAAACCTTATAGGACAACAAAATCCGATTCCCAAAACCCAGAGAAAGAGATTCATAGGAAAAAACATAAACATTGGGAAGTGACAGCTGCAACCCCTCCTCCTAGTGTCCATGGGCCAGCCAAAGTATTGTCTATAGAAGAATCGTTGAAACTTCAAAAAGAATACAATGCCCATTTGAAAGAAATAGAGGCACAACATGCTGCTGAGAAGTTATTGGCTCGTGCAGGCATTAAGATGGCGGAGTTGCCAGAAGACAAAAGTAATTTTGGAAAGTATAGAGAAGTAGACAGTGATGATTCTGATGCATCAGACCCTGAGGGCAGTGACAAAGAGGTGCATGATGAGGAACCAGAGAGAGGAGGAGTAGTTTTCACTGTCATGAAATGAAGACTTTAAGAAAAAAGAACTGAGTTGTAAACAAACTGATCAAAGAGTTTAATAATGAAGTAGGATCTGTGATCCAAGACAGACACATATTGTTTTGTGATGAATTAATGTGAATAATCCAAATTAATTGAATGTAAGTAGAATAAAGTATTTTCTCAAAATAACATTTATTTTTCTGCTCGTACATTATTCATATAATCAAATAAGAATATTATAACGTATCTTATACACAATTCAAAGTACCTACCACAATAATAAAAAATAACATTTTTTTGATGAGCGCCACGAGGAGCGCATTTCATAGGTGGTGGGTAGTTGTAAAACAGATTTGATAAAAAAAAATGTTAGTTCCGCCTAAGCATCTTGGTATTGTGTTAGGTTTGGGACAGTTTTTCGGTCTCTATATCGAACCACGCATATTGTCAAAAGTGACTGTTCATTAAAATATATGACGCCCTTCTATCGACGTACTTATATATTATAATCTTTAACTATAAATAGTAATCTAATAAGGATTAAAAGGCATGCCTTACCAATGTTATATTATGATTGACCCTGCCTCAAATAAATATTTATATTAATATTTTTGAAACACACCCGCGATTTTCGTCTTGTAGTACCTAGTGGATTATTTAAGATAACGCCACCCTCGCCGGTTAGTGCTTCGAATCTTAATTACGCGTGAAATTCCCTAGTATGATAATCGACAGATGTTGTTCCTGCCTGGCTGAATATAAATCTTTCGATTCCAAGTCTGCAATCAACAACTCGCTCACAGTTTGAACTTAGTTCGAGACATCGAGAGCTCAAAGCGCAAGCGCACTCGTCTATTCGATTCGTACTTCGTCAAGTCGTCAACGTCAATCGGCCGCGCGCGCTCGCGAGTGTAGCACGCACGCGTATGAATATTATCAATCGTTATAAATATATCGTTGTTTCGTTCGATAGTTACTTTTATTATAACGTATTAAATTGTGAAAATGGCACCCTCTTCAAATGCTGTCGTAGGAATTGACGATGATCAACGCTTCGCGTTAATGAAGGTAATATACTTTGTACTTGTTTGTGTTAAGTTTTATCAAAAAAATGTGATGTTCTTTATTTGTTTACGTGGTGAAATGCTATAGAAATCGTAACTAATCGCATTGTAGGTATGCGCGAAGCTACATACCTATGTTCAATTTCTTATTAGATTTATATTTAATAAATACCTACCTGATAACAAAGAAACTTCGGCAATTAGTTATTAGGGCAAGAATGATTAATGGATCTTTATGCTTAATTTTAACACGCTAGTGTTAACAGAAGCCGATTAAAGTTGCAATTATTATTATAATAACATGCAAAGCTAAGAGGTAGGTACATAAAAATGCTACCTTGTCAATATTTCAATGCTGAATGCAATGATATCTACAAAAAACTCAAGGTATTCATGAATATGTTTATTATCAACTCATAACAAAATTATAATAAAAATAAATAAATGCAGAATAGACAATAGGGTCTAAGTTTCCGCATGATGACGTTACGCAATTAAAAGTGTTGTTCCAATTTTGTCAAATGGCTCTTGTTATATTCGCCTACTTAAAAACACACCTAGATACTATTTGCTGTTAATACGTACCTAGTGATAATGATGTACCATATACCTACTTAACTCTATAAGAACTTTGCTTAATACATAATTTTATTTAAAACAGAAGATATGTGTAAGAAATCCTTTTATCATGACGGACAGCGATAAACTTATTATGAAAACAAATTAGCTAATTAAACATCGAATTAGTACGTGTTGCCTACGTATTCATTTATCAGTGATAATTTCTATAATCAGTTCCTGCATTGTAACCGCACTGGGAGTTCATGCAATAATGAAATATCATTTTTTATATTGTATTCGATCTTAATTTGATTGGTAACTTCCTCTTTATTTTTGTCCTAAAATACTTCATGGTGTTCTTTTTGTAGGTATAATTTTAAAAACATTGTCCTAACCGATACAAAAAAATTGGTAATCTGTGGATCCGAATACACGACACAAAGAACGGTTCCTTGTGGGACTTATGGGAGTCATTTCACGGCCCACGGACGTCTAGTTACTGTTTCTACATGGCAATGATATTTGCTAAAATCAATATATATATAATATAAGACAAAGGAGTTTTCTCGGCCCCTATAACCCTGTTACCTATGCTTAAATATTAAAAACACCGCAACTGATTTTGATGCGGTTTTGTTTAATTCACCAACCACCAAGCGAACGCCGCCGTTCCCGCATCTATTGTGTCTCGAATTACCACGATTGAAAAGTTAGTGGTTGAAGAGGAAGATTTACATGTAGGTATTATAACATCCATTAAATAGTGGAGAAATTTTGTATCAGCATTCGACCCGTGCGAAGCCGGGATGAGTCGCTAGTAAACAATAAACAAAGGCTTTAGACATTGCAATGTAGATCTCGATACACTAGACTCGCAACTTAATGAATTGGAAATGGAATTCAACATTTGAATTATTAATATGTGAAGCCGTAATCCACTTCCTTCAAGGTGATCGCAATGCATGCAAAAATGGTTTGACCTAGACCAGATTAAAATGCAATAAAGTGTTTATCGATCTGCATAGGTCTATATTACGTAACCATAGTTATTAGTCATTCAAACCTTGCGATTATGTTAAAACTAAAGATAATTGACATAATATCGGAAATTAACATCATAGATAGGTAGGTACGTTGAGAGCCCATAAGCAACGAACTCTAGACGAATAATTTTTTAATGAAACTTGGCACACACTATTGCATACCTCAATACATCGTGATCTAAAACTTAACTAGGTGGGTATATACCGATTTACCTACATACCTAATCAAAAAAAAAAGTTTAGGTAGACAGGAAGAAGCAGTACCTAGTAAATTTCCAAACAAAAATATAAATGCAAATAATGCCATTAGAGAATATTTCGAAAATTTACTTTCATTAAAATCTTAATAATATACTGCGTACGGGTGCTAAGTTTTATTAGAATCGGTTGAGTCGGTCGGCTTCCATAGTTTTTATTTTATTTTAAAGTGTTTATAAAAACTCGTACGGCGTAAAAGCCCTTAAAATATAAAACAGAAGGGTACTGAGGCCAGAGTAAAAAAATATCGTAAAAATGCAAATTTGGCGTCCGATTTTAGAAAACCGGCTCGACGCCAATTTTTGTTACAAATTTGAGCAAGTACCTACACAAATATGTAAGTACTTATTTATTTTTAAATCGAGAACTTCAAAACACGCTCATAAACAGCACAACAATTTGTAAAAAAAAACAACGGAAGTTTTTTTTATATAAAACTATACTGTTAATTATTATTTTTAATTTTGTGATTGATTAATATTTTTTTAAACAAACGACTGCGGTACCTTTTTTTTATTTGTCTGTCCTACCCTCCAATTAAATTTAATATTGATTGTCGACTTTTACCACTAAAATACTTTTAAACATCTAAACACAGTCATAAGTCGCATAATTAATTATTGTAATAAAAAAAAACCTTTTATGCTCATAACTATGTAGATAGGTAACTACATACAGAAAAAAGTATACTTAAATATGAGCCACCTTGTCAAGTGATAGTACCATTTTTAATTTATATTATAAATAAATATTCAATATGTTTTAGTAGAATCATTTTAAATTAACCATTTTAGTAGGTTTTCATTATTAAAATCTTAAATAATGTTAGAAAAATGAGGAATGAGTATTTTTTACTGTGCTTGTTGTTCTTTACGTTTGGCGTTTAATTATATTGTTATATCTAACAATAAAAAAGAAAGCGGACCTGTAGGCCTACCATAACGTGTTAAGAGGGATGGAGCTATAAAAGGTATATAGCTCCATCTCTCTTTCTCGCTCGGAAGATTGACGCTAAAAAGTAAAAACTAAGAATTATGCATGTTACTTTTTATGTGTGACACAACTTGAGGTGTTCAGTGCTGTTTAACCTGTGTATTTAACTATAGATGGGTTCTATCAACGTGTTACACGACATCGGTAGTTATAAAAACATTGCATAACCCAAGTGACTGTTACAAAATGTTTACATTTCTCACTTAAACGCCAACCAGAGATTGTCAACGTAATGTTATAACGAGAGTTTAATAATTCAACGAAAATATAAATAGATGATAGAATAATTATTGATTTTCTAAGTGCACGCAGTTTCAATAACAATTTGGAAAAGATTTTTAGAATGAAAAATCCAGAATTAGGTACTTACTATAAGACCTCGCGAAAAAACCGAACAAATAGGTAATGTCTCTTGATGAAAATACAAGTAAGTAGATACGTAAACTTTACTTCTACAAGTCACACTTCGTCAAATTTGGTTTATATTTGTACCTTCTTGGTTTCTTCTACAATACAATAGCAGTTTTTTATTCGCAAAATAACATTCTATAATGGTACCTATCTACAGTGGTTGGGTCATAATCTGCGGGAATGCAAACGCAATACGATCGTGTAACTAGGATCATTTTATTCGTTGTGTCGACATTAGACTGACACAACTGCTGTACACCGCGATACTTACAGTTCTTTTACCTTTTTTACATTATACCATTACTTCTTACTAATATTACGAAACGATATTTTTTTACAAATTACCCGTAAATGTTTTTGTTGATGGCAACATTGCGATTGTAAAGAGTTACGTTTGAAGGGCGATTCTCTAATATTCGAATTGCGTTTTATTTTTCCATTCTGTGAGTGAGGTAATTTCTATAAGTGTAAGTTTATTGTTTATTACCAAACTTTTTTTGGGTTAAATTTTTATTAGGTTACTAATGACTAATGATAAATATAAGTACATTATTATAAATATACCTACATAATTATACCAGATGGATAGTGTTTGCATAAGCAAAAAGTACCTACATTAAAAAAGACGGCGCAATTAAAAAGATAGTTTGTCTGAATTAATTTCTAGGAAGCTCAACTAGGAAGAAGTATTTCCTCACTGGTGCAACGTAATGACTAGACTGCCAGACAATACTTTATTAAAAAAGAAAGAATT